CGGGGAGTCATAACCTTTACCTGCCGCGGCTGAGAGCTTCAGACACTAACAGCGCGCTTGGCTGCGGCTCTCCAGCCCAACTCGGGGCACAAGGAATCCCCAGGCTGCCAAGAGCAACAGACCATGGAGACCCATGTCTGGAAAGAAATTCACGTCCTTTCGTTACTATTTTTAATTTCCTCTGAAAGAGCCCTGAACTGAACCAGAGCCTGAGCTGCAACTATCACTTGCCAAGTGAAGCCGCTGTACCACCACCATTTCCAATCTGGTGACATCAAGTTTTAATTATTAAATTAAGCCAGTTCTCCCACATAGGGCATGCCTACATTGTTCCCACCTGCCAGTCAGAGGGTCTCCTCCACTGCTCTCACTGAGACCTGGAGAGACGTGCCTGCCCTAAGGACCCAAACCTTACAGCCATCGCAGGGAGAGGGTCACGCAATATTGGAGTTAGACTGCCAGAGTAGGAGTCAGGAATCTCCTGCTGGATTCACTGCTCAGCTATGGACTTCTTTAACCTTGGTCAAGTCATTTCATGTTGTCGGAGGCCATGGTTTTGCCCCTCTGTAAAAAGGACATGACACTAGCTTCTTTGTCCGTCATGTAATGGTAGGAGATATCACTCCAGGAAGCCCTAACGCCCCTGTAGAGAGGGAGCTTTGACTGCTCCGCAGAGCCCTGCTCCTATTCTGCTTCTGAGGAGCAAAGTGGTAAGATGACAAGGACTGTAAAAAAAATACAAGTAAAAAGGGAGAGCTCGTGTCAGCGGAAGCGTTATTCGACAAAGCCAGTTTGCTGAAGAAGACTCCAACCCTCCTTGTCCTATTAGCAGGAAATAATGGTGCCTTCCTCACTAATTTCTCTTTTGCTAATTGCTAAAACGGAGCGAGAAGGTGGGAGTAATAGTTTCAGAAACTGCTGGATACTCACTCTCTTCCATCACTAATATGAATGTCTTTTGGCTCTGTGGACTATGAGATCTCAGTGTGTCTAGTCATTTTTTATCTTTCCTGCGCATGCGGGCACGTAGGAACAATGTCTGTAAATCTCCGAAGCAGGGAGTTACAACACTATTCCAGCACGGCAAGCTCCTACGAGAATGCGATCAGACACAGGATTAAGTGCATTTTGGACACAACTGCATTAACATTAGGTAACATGAAATTGCCTGTGAACTATTGATTCATTTGAATGATATTATCCTCCTGCCTTCTTGACAGGTTATCCATTCACACACCGCATCCTGTCAGCCCGTGGAACGAGGGCAGATGGCTAATGAGGGTCTGGGCCTGAGGAGATCCCGGATGCCAACGGAGCAGCAGGAGACGTGTCGAGCCCCTGCAAAATAATACCTCCCCCCAGCCAGAACCGGGAGGCAAACGGTGTGGGGCACAGAGCAACCAGCTGCCTGAGCACCCCGTTGGCTTCGTTATATGGGGAAGGAAAATGAGACGTATATTCCAAAACAGCCACAAAGCCCAAGGCTTCAATCTCTCTGGACCTCCCAAAACTCAAGGAATCTGAAATTGGTGCCTTTATTTATTTCTCCCCTGAAAACATTTCTCAGCTTTTAACACTGCTCAGGCCTTGGCAGAACTGTTACACTCTACCTTTAGCCCACTTTCTTTTTACCTTTAGTTATAAGATCCTTCAAGAGGGATATCAGCACCACTGTCCTCACTGTATAAAAGGGGAAACCGAGGCACGGTCAGAGGCATGGTTTGCCCAGAGCGTGCAACAGTCACAAGGCTGAGCCCAGAGCTGCCAAGTACAACCCCAGCTCTTTAGCCACTAGGATATTCGGTCTCCTTAGGTCAACTGACTAGCAGGGGTTATTCCCACCACCCAGCCAGGCTCCTGCAGAGCCCATGGCGGGAGAGCAGCCTTTCCTTCCAGAGGGCACTCCTGCCCATTCGGCTCCGACCCGCTCTGAAGAGCCCCTCTCCCCACCGAGGACGGAGGCAGAGGCTGACAGCAGGAGCACTGGACAAAGCAGCCACCGGTAGATGCTGTACACGCTCCCCACAGAGTCAAAAATCCAATTCAAACATTAACAATAACTTTTTTCAGCTCACGTTTGTGGTGGCTTTTCAGTGGAAGCTTTGGTCGTCTTCTATAGCCGACTCTGTCTGTATCTGTCTTTTTCTAGGCAAACCTCCAGCTACAGAAAACCCCATTTCTGTTGCTGTCATACTCACAAAGCATCCACTCTGTAACGCACAGCAATCACACGGCCTGCATGAACCCATTCCCCTGCCGTTTCCCTTTTCTTCCCTCAGCTCTGGCTCCTACCTTCTTCCTTTAAACGTTTTTCCATCAGACGCGCACCAGAACTGCCTGCCCGGATCAGAAACAAGTCACTGAACCACGAGCTGCCTACGCAACGAGATGGAGATAAACAGCCCGTGGGGGACACGCTTCATTTGGAATGGAATAGGAGAGATTTGGTAAGGTCAGCCTTGCTACAGGGGGCAAAGGGGTGAGAGCATCCAGATACTTCAGTAGTTGCCGGCTCAGCTTCTGTCCCGGTCTGTTTTTACTTTCCTACGTGGTCATTCACCACGCTTGACGCTTTCAAATCCACATTTTGCAAATGCAAACTCATTTGCCATTCGAGGCCTGTGCCACTCAGCTGATTTCCAGAGCCTCAGTCAGCCTGCTGCACCTCCCACGGGCCCAGAGGGAATATCTGGATTTCTGCCGGTGAGCGATGGCCAAACAGTCCAGCACAGAGGCCTCCTGTAGCGCTGCCTGCAAGCGGGGAGCGTAACGAGGGGAGGGGCGGAAAACTTTGCTCTTGGAGATCACGTTATATAGGATCTTAGATGGCTCTTTTCGCCATGTATTTGCATGCAGGTATTAATGCCTTTACTTTCCTAAAGGTCAGACTGAGGGAGAGAAATACTGTTCATATTTCAGAAATCAGACTCCAACACGTGAATGACTCTGTAGAGGGTACACAGGGATTCGGTGTCAGATCCAAGGATTTCTCAGTGTGGTCAACTCAGAAAGATGCATACTGAAGGCAATTTTTACCTAAACTAGAAAGAAATATTTAAACAGGCCAAGCAGAACTACAACAGACATAGCTGACCTTGCCTTGACTGCTAGACAAAGAGGAGGCAGCTAGTACTTGCACATTTAACAGTTCTGTGACTGCTTTTCTCTCCTCTTCTCATGCACTTGCTCTTTCTCATCTGCAGCGCTGGCTGGTGCTATTGCAGGACAGAAGATAGCTTTTCAATGCAGTAAGAGCAAGGAGCCGTTAGGGAAATAACTCATACCTGCCAGCAGAAACTATTTAATGGAGACGCCAAGCCTTCGTGCACCTCATCCTAGCCTCCTCCGTGCCCCTTTGGCCGGAGGCCGTGAGCGCCACACTCCCCCCAGCTCTCTTGTAACAACCATCTGCACAAAAAGAGTTGTGTGACCACACGCTTTCAGGCAAGATCAGGGTACTCGGTGAGCACGCCGGGTGCAAATCAAGGAGGTGGGTACAAAATGCATCCTTCCTGATTATGCCCTTATTCTACAGCCAATGATTTTTTTCCCTTCCTCCTTAGGAGGAAGGGAATAATTGCAATAGCTGACCAGCACTTTGCCCTGTTTCAGCCTAGCTCCTTGCAGCAGTCTTATGCCAACCAGTGTAACCTGAGACACGAGGACGACCATAAAAGTTCATGCCCACATTAATTTCAGGTACGCAAATTCTGGCTGCCTGAATTCTTCCCTTCTTTGGGTTCGGTTTTTAGAGCACTTTTTAGAGTGCCCACAAAAAGTCAATAAGCTGGTTTGTGAAATCGCAGAAAAAGCAGGCCTTGAAGGTCTGCAGCCGGAATTAATGAACTTTTACAAAAGAAAAATCCCCAGGCATTGCTCAAATCACAGCAAAGTCTGCAGCAGCACCAGGCAATTACAGTGTAGATTTTCTGACTTCTACTACAGGG